CATGCATTTTTAGCATGTACTGCTGTACGATCGTGTCCAGCGTCTCCCTTGGTATTCCAGTTTGCCCTCCTCGCAAAACATGGGAGATAAGACTTGGATCCAGCTGGAAGCACCAAAACATTACTGAATTAAAGCAACGTGTCTTTCGCCAACGTGTCTCGGCATTCGCCAACGTGTCTCGGCATTCGCCAACGTGTCTCGGCATCGTACGGTTGCTTCTCTCTGAGCTCTGATATACAAATGGTTCGACAGCGCAGGAATGCCGAAGATGAAACTGGTATGCCACAATGGTCAGTTCAACTCATTGAGAGATTCGACAAGTATTCCAGCAGCATGGAGACGATGTTAAGTGAGTTGTTTGAACGCATCTTTACTGACAAGGGAAGCTTGTTTGGTCGAAGTGGCCTTTCCAAATGAGATATATACCATATCAAAGCGCATAAAAGGCTGATTCCAAAACTGTCTTCCTTATCTGCAGAACGTTTATGGACGAGAAGTTATAAGCGTTTTTTGGAGCCAAAAATTGAATGTGCATTTTGAATAAAATGAGTTGTTAGAATCTTACTAACCTTCAAATAACGTAACCAAGTGTGGTACAATTTTTATTTTAGAGTAATTTTCAAGTGAAGTGTTTTGGTGATTATCATTGCTCCGTTGAAGAGCTAGAAAAAGTATTACGGCTATTTTTGTCACACTTGTACATTCAATTTTTGACTCCGAAAAACGCTCATAACTTCTCGTCCATAAATGTTCTGCAGATACCGAAGGCAGATTTGGAATCAGCATTTTATGCTCTACAATATGGTATACATGCCATCAAAAAAGGCCACTTCGACTAAACAAGCATTCCTTGTGAGATCAAGCACATTAAAACTTCTCAGGATTCGATGCTTGATCGCATACAGAGTCTGGAAGACAAAGTATGCCAGCTCAGTTCTGAGAAGTTAAACCAACAGAAACTTCTTTATTCAACTCTCGTAAAGATTCGCGCTGACGAAAGCAAATTAGAGGACAAGTCTAAACGCATCGCACTTGTGGGAATTGATGAGCAAAATGACGAAAAACTAACTCGCCGTTTTGATCTTGAAATTGTAAGAGAGTATATCTACACGTCCGGCGAGCAAGATCTAGCAGAAGAATTTGAACAAGGGCATGTAACAATACAGCGTTTCCCACCTAACGTAAAAAATTCTCATGCGCGTGGCCGCATTATTAAGATCGGCCTTCGTTCAAAAGAACTAGGGACAAGCTTTTGCGCCACATGAAAAGTGGGCGCCAAAGTCTTACGCAAAAATTTGTTCATTCATATGCCAGACGCGACTACACTTTCGAGGAGCTGCAACTAGATCGAGCCCTCCGTAAACAAGCTGGTGATTTGAATGCGCGAGAGGGGAGACTAGCTTACGTTGTTCGCGATTTCGAGATCGTGAAACTCAAATCGCCGCGCGAACTTCCCAGGCGATTCTTAACCTCGACTAGCTTCCGCAGCAACATTGCGAGCAACGCACATTGCATGAAAAGCACTGTTGACATGGAAGAAGAGCATGAAAATTCTCTTGCAACTAATTTGACTCTATCCCCAATCACTTGCTCACAATATACACCCAAAACACACATACATTAGCCCAAAAGTCTTCAACCCGGGAAAATTTTGCACCATAACAAAAACTATTCTACATCATTTCTATCCAATAATAATATCGAAGGTCATGTAATTTTATTCAATGCACGTTCTATCTGTAACAAACTACCAGATCTACATAGACTTCTTTATTTTGGACCATCCATTGTGCTCATTACTGAATCCTGGTGTAAACCACAACTAATACATGATGCAAACATATGTCATAAATTCCAGTATGAAATTTATAGATGTGATAGAGAAGGCAGTACTCATGGAGGAGGCGTTCTTGCTCTTGTGCCTAAAGACATTGAGCATCACCTAATCTCTATTCAGAATTTTTCTCCTTACTGTCAAAGCCTCTGTCTTTGCCTCACAAATACTATGACATGCACAAATTTGATATTAACGTATAGAAGTCCTTCATGCAATAATGCCTCGTTTGAAGAAGCATTACTATTCTTTAGTGAAATCCTTGACAGAAACCAAGATTGTATCATCTTAGGAGACTTTAATTTCCCATACTGTGACTGGTCCAATGTCATATCAGCATTTCAAAAACATGACTCTTCTTCTATGAGACTACGGCAGCTAGTGGAGACTTATAACTTACGCCAGCTTGTGAATGTTCCCACTCATGATGTACATATGCTAGATCTCATTTTCACAAACAATGACAAAATGATTAAGAAACTGAAATTTCATCCACCGTTTTCTACATCAGACCATTCTTCCATCTCATTTCAGCTAAGCAAACATCATTTGAGTGGTGCATCGCCAAAATATTTGCCTGACTTTCTCCATGCAGATTACAATGAAATAAACGCTGATTTGCTGAGAGTAAACTGGCGTAATGCTATACTGAACACAACCTCAGCAGACCAGTGTTATCAATCATTTGTTACTCATTGCCAAGCATTGATAAATAAGTTTGTACCCAAAATTAAGATTGACCAAAAACACACATTTGCATATCCTAAAAAGATCCAAGTGTTAGAAGCCAAAGTTTCCAGATTGTATCAAACCAGACATAGAACCGGAATTAAAAAGTATCTAAGATTTTCTAGAAAGCTCAAACGCGAGTTGGCCCAATGCAGGCTTTCTGAGGAAGATGCCATTGCACGTAGCCGTAATATCAAGAATTTCTTTCGCTTTTGTAATCAAAACCTAAAGGTGACAAACAATATTGGAACTATCTATGATTCATTAGGTAACATATGTAAATCAGATAAAGAAAAAGCTGAAGCATTCGCCGTATTTTTTAAGAATGTTTACAAAAAACCTACAAATGTTAAAACCCAATGTCCACAGTTTACAAATGAAAAAATTGATTTTTTGGATATCACTGGTGACATTGTTTACCAAATTTTGAAAAAATTAACTCTTAGAAGATCTACGTCACCTGATGGACTTCCCTACATATTTCTGAGAAAAGTAGCGCTTGGCATTTCTTCTGCCCTCAGCCTTCTTTTCCAAAGATTCTTACTCCACGGGGAAACCCCAGCACTTTGGCGTACAGCGATCGTGAAACCGATCTTCAAAAAAGGCAACAGATCGCAACCCAAGAACCATAGGCCCATCTGCCTAACTTCTTCAGTTAGCAAAGTGTTTGAGAGAATAATTTGCAAACAAATTTGCAAATATCTCGGAAATAACCAACTCATAAATGCAGCACAACATGGATTTTTACCTAAAAGATCGACACCTACAGCTCTCATGTCCACTATATCAATATGGCATAAGATAATGAATGAAAAAGGATTCATTACCGTATGCTATCTAGATTACAAGAAAGCTTTTGATTCAGTAAATTTAGAACTACTTTTCAACAAACTCAATGCATATGAAGTGAAAGGTTGTCTTCTGAAATTTCTCCAATCTTTTCTATCAAATCGTACTCAACAAGTCATAGTCAATGAATCCTTGTCTTCTACGTATCAAACAAGCAGCGGAGTTCCTCAGGGGACCTGCTTAGGGCCTCTCATGTTTTTGCTATACATAAATGATCTACCATTAGCTCTTCCTGATGGTGTCACCTGTTCTATTTATGCAGATGATACCAAACTATACTGCTGCAATTCCCCTCGGCTGATGCAAAAAGCTTTAGATGCGGTGGTAGAATGGTCTGAGAAGTGGGACCTTGACATTTCAGTCGAGAAAACACATATCATGCTTATTGGAGCTAAACATCCACGACCGTGTACTTATTACATAGGAGGTCAAAAGATTCGAGTGACAAACTCCATAAAAGACCTTGGCATTACCTATTCTGACAACCTCAATTTTGACGACTATATAAATGAAATTACAAGAAATGCCCATGCTCGATGTAACTACATATTACGTGCCTTTAGAACGACGAAAATCCAAACTCTCTTCAAGCTTGTTGTCATTTACGTCCGTCCTATGCTAGAATACTGTACACCTTTGTGGTCTCCAACTAAGAGAAATGCAATTGACGCCTTAGAAAGAGTGCAGAAGTCATTCACTGCACGAATATTTGCAAGAGCTGGGCATTTCCATGTGTCATACAAATCAAGACTTTCTATACTTACCACTACCTCTTTGAGACTCAGAAGAACAATTTATGATCAAAATCTCGTCTACAAGATTATGACTAAAAGAATCTATCTCACGATGCACGATTTTTTCGTATTATCCAACTTTAATGCTATAACTAGAGGACATGACTTCAGGTTTATCATAGGAAAGGTGCAAACACAGCAATTTCATGACTCTTTTCCGATACGCATAATCAACACATGGAACAAGCTTCCAGTAACGGCGATTAAAGCTTCATCGACATTTGTGTTTAACAGAGAAGTTCAAAAAACCTTGAAATCTAAAGGATTCTTCTAACAACATTTTTTACAGAACGGTGTAAAAAACGCTTTATTGGATCACTATTACTGATCTTCGACCAGCTACTTCAAAACGCCAAAATTACCATTCAGCACCTCTGTACCTTTTTTTATCTTCTATGTATTCTTCTCCTCTGTGTATTTTTTATTGATAGTTTATGTCTTTTTTGCACAAAAAATTTTGTTTATGGCGAATCATTTTCCTTATTGTCCTGATCCTGCCGCTTATTTGAAAAGAGATTCTTTTTTGAGGGCTAAGTCAGCTAGCTTTTGCCCGCAGGCTCGCTGGCATTTAAACAATGGGATGCACATTACTTTTCAAAAGGCAGCAAGATTTTTTATGTCGATTGTTTGAGTCCAAACTGTACTTATGTTGTGTGATCTTTTTTGGAATCGACTGTTTACGTAAATAAATAAATAAATAAATAAAGTGTATCTATTGACCTTGCTGATGTACACATCTCCTAAGCTTGGCACATTAATGACGAAGTCTGGAATTGACTCAGTGTTGCTGAATATCACTTGCCACCGGTTGACCTCCAGTTGCGAAACGGACCAGTGATGCAGTCAACTAAAATCAGTGACATGAATATTGAGAATGTTTTTTTTGCAAATAAACATAATGAGTATAACATAAATTTTTTTTTGCTTGCGTTCATTATTACCTTGATCAAAATTTCCATAGCTGTCTTCTACACGATCTGTGATGAGAGACGTGTTACTGAGGATTTACTAGCTCTCAAAGTGACATTAATCTATGTATTAGGTTGAACCGAAAGTTCTGTCCCTCCATTTTCAAAAATTCGTAACTTCGCCAGATTTCAACGGATTTGCTTGCTCGTAATTTTATTAAAAAGAATAGATCTTCCGCTTTCAAGCGCTGTTTTATGTAGCTTCTGCTTCGCACTGAGTGCCGAGATAAAAATGGAAAACTAAGACCATGTAAAGTTTGACCATTTTAAGTTAGGTCACCAAAAATCTGGAATGCTGCAGAAAAATCTGAAATCGTCAGTACATATGTTTTTTGGCCTACTCTTTGCATCTGTGAAAAGTTTGTGCTGTTTGGACGTCTCTGTGAGAAGTTATGGTTTTCGCGAAAATTGACAATTTAATTAATTTTGGCGTTTTCCATAGTAAACTCGATATTCATAACTTCTCACAGAGATGTCCAAACAACACAAACTTTTCACAGATGCAAAGGGTAGGCCAAAAAACATATGTACTGACGATTTCAGATTTTTCTGCAGCATTCCAGATTTTTGGTGACCTAACTTAAAATGGTCAAAGTTTACATGGTCTTAGTTTTCCATTTTTATCTCGGCACTCAGTGTGAAACAGAAGCTCCGCAAAACAGGGCTTGAAAGCGGAAGATCTATTCTTTCTAATAAAATTACGAGCAAGCAAATCCGTTGAAATCTGGCGAAGTTACGAATTTTTGAAAATGGAGGGACAGAACTTTCGGTTCAACCTAATATTTGATAAAAAAAACATTCAGTAAAGTGTTAGCAGTTTTTCCATCTTTCTCTATTCTTCGTTGTAATTCAGCAAGTTGCCAAGTCAACTCAGATTGCTCAGAATCATCACCCTTTGAAGTTTGTGAAAACCTTACAAAAAAGGTCCAGATTTTCCAAATCAGGCTTCTCCTTTCTTTATGTATTCTGAGTAAAAGTACTCAAGTTGGGTCTAGTATGCATCATTGCCTTCTCTTAAACTGTTTACAATAGTATGTGCCAGTGGCGTACCCAGGCTTTCTGCTTGTTCGGAGAGGGGGGGGAAGGGGGGGGGGGGGTGAGGAGAGACAAAAAATTTTTTCTGATGAAGACAGTTTAGCCGCACTACGAAAAATTTTTGGTTTGCCTCCTAAAATTTTCGTAGGCCCACATCCCCAAAATTTTAGAAAAAAGAGGCTCGGCGTATGTCCACGAATTTTTTTTACAAGGCTAAACTGAATTTTTAAAAAATTCAAAAATTATTTTAATTATTAGGGTGTCCCACACTTTTTTTTGAACATTTTTCCTTAAACATCTGCATTTCTCAGAACTGGGACACTTTCAAAGTTCACAAATACATGGTCTTACTTCTATGTGTATGATCTTTATGATCGCGTGCGTGGGAGGTGCTCACGATGTCTAGGGGCGGAATTTGCCATTTATCCCATTCATTTTTTCCTTTATTTCTAGCTAAGGAAAAAAGACAGGAATAGCATAATTGAATGTGTGATGTGTCAAGCATAGGCTAGGATGAATGGAGAATCTTTAAGACATTTTAGGGCGAGATACAATTTTTAAATAAAAAGTTCGTTTTCGATTTATTTATTTATTTACTTTATTTATTTATATCGTACACGTAAACGTGCCAAAACCTGTGTGAGTGATGAAACATTGCTAGAGTAAGAGACTAGCCTGTCACCTTTCACCAGAACAAACAAACAGCAATAATGGCCTGGGTGTTGGGGAAGAAAACTTTCTTTGGTCAAGGGAGATTAGGTGATTGTTATTGGGGAATGTCACTGCCACTTTTCCGGGCTGTCCAAAAGGTCTGCGATTGGTTCCTGGCAGGTATCCACCAACCTGACACTACCGACGCTTGGATACACCTGCCTTATTCTGGGAAAGTTATGCATGAGACGCAGCTGTCTGCGGTCCCAAAGGGCAATGCTGTTGCTCATCCGAACGTGGGTGACAAGCCAGCACAGCATGGTTGGTAAACACGATGAAGCGAGAAACACGAACACAATAAATCGAAAAAAAAACATGGAATCGTGAAACGACGTAGTAGTAAAGGTTTCACGAGGCGGCTGTCGTAAAAGCGAATGTGGGGAAAGCAAAGTTCGAAACACACGAGTCGACAAGCGAGGGCCAGCAAGAAATAGACCAGAAAAGGCAGACCTGTAATGAAAACAGACCAGGAAACAGGTCACAGAGGACTGTTCAATAATTGGCAAATGTCAACTTTCCTCAGTCTCCTTTTGAAAGCTTCACAGTTGTCAGCACTCAAAACTTCGCGAGGTATGCACCGTAGCCATCTAGCTCCCCGACAAAAAATATGATTGAATAACAGGTTAGCATGTTTCCTCTCAACTTTAGGGTAATGCAAATTAAAACCACCGTGCCTATCGTAAGCAGGCATAAAGGTCCAGTAATCGCTGGGATTCAACTTGACTTCACGTTTCAAAACTCTGAAGCAAAACCAGAGGTCAGATTTAGCTCTTCTGCAAACAAGAGATTCAAGTCCCAGCTTCTTAAAGCGGTCATGATAACTCAGAGCGGGACAATCGGGGATACATCTCCTCATCACAACTCTAGTAAAAACTCTCTGAACTCTTTCGAGCTTTTTGATATGTTTAGCTTTACTCGGACTCCAGAGTTGTGAGCAGTATTCAAGTTTAGGTAAAAAAAGATTTATCAAGTCGTAACATAATCGTTGGATTATCCGTGTGGACATTTCGAAGTATCCGGAAGACCGAGCCAAATGCCTTGGTAACAGTCTCATTTGTATGCTCAGTGAAATCCAGAGACTCGTTGAAACGAACACCCAAATCATAGATGAAACTACTCTGTCTCAAGTCCACACCATTCAACTTGTACGTCTGCTTTTGGCCACCGCCTAGGTGCATAGAAGAGGATTTTTCAAGGTTGATCGGTAAGCATCAAGCAGAGGTCCAATCTGCAAGTCTACATAACGATGCTTGCAGAGCGGATCTTACCTCCCGAGAGTTCTCATCCCCATAAATCCCATAGATCTTTATATCATCAGCGTACAACTTGACTATAATGTGTGTGGACGTGATGATAGCACTTGGCACATCAATTGTATAAAGCAGAAACAAAAGTGGGGAGAGGACACCCCCCTGAGGTACTCCACTGGTGCATATATGCCTTTGCGAGTGGTAATGACCAACTCTAACCGTCAGATGTCTTCAGCTAGGTACGAGGCGATCCATTCCAATAATTTGCCATCTATACCCAAATATTTAGTTTACTCAAAAGTTTTCCGTGGCTAACTTTATCAAACGCCTTTGATAGGTCAACATAAATAACACCAACAAAATCCTTTTCCCTTGTTCAATGCCAAAGCCCAATCAAATAAACTATCTGCTAAATTGTTAAACATGTGAAAAAATTATGTGGAGGAAGGAAAAAATGACTTTTTTTACAGCCACCTCAGGTGACTGTCCAGGTAGCTGAAAAGCCACCTAACTCCGAAAAAAAGTTTGCCACTTCAGTTCACAAATCTTATATATAAAGCTGAATGTGTGTCAGTCTGTCTGTATGTCTATATGTCTGTCTGTACGTATGTGCGGAATAGAAATTTTTATTTCTGGACCGATTTGGACCAAACTTGGCACACATACACTTCGGGGCAGGGAGCATGCCATAGGCTACTTTTCGTCATCGACTGATATCGATTTTATCGATTTTTTGCAGAGTTCACCTACAGGGCTGGGAGTTGGCACAGGGGAGTAAGTGAGCATGACGATTTCGAAAACAACACGGGGAACGGGAAATGAAGTGTAGAAGTGGGCACAGGGAAAGGCTGTACAGGGATAGGAATGGGGCCTTTATTACAGTGTTTTGACAGGGCCGAGCGGAGCCGGGTAAGGAAGCTAGTTTTTTCATAATTTTTTGCACATAGTCCTAACTCCTGTTGCCCATCTACACACCAATTTTGGTCTCATTTCATTTTCTCTTTGCTGTAAACAAGTATTTTGTTTAGAGGCAGGTTTGAATTCGCGCGCTTAGCCGGCGAACATGTTGAAACAGGAAATTTTTGGTTTCTGCAGATCGATAAGGCAGAAATGACAAATTGCTTTTTCTATAGAAGAGGTCACATAGGGGCAGAAGCCGACTATGTGGGGGAGGGGCTGGGGTTTCCGCTCAAACGATATCCCCCTTGGTTTTTATTCCAAAACGAATCCACTTGCCCCGTAAGCCACCTGTGCCGAGCCCTGAATACAAAGAGACGACAGTTGTAGTAAAAAGTAAAAATTATGGGACACCCTAATATTTACAAGTATAAACGAGTCACTTGTCATTTTCATAACTCATGTAAGTAACTCTCAAAAATTTCGCCACCCAGTCGGAGGGGAGGGGGTAATACAGAACTTCTTCGCTGGTTTTGCAAGAAGGTATGGCTGTAATGGCAGCTTTCTTATTCTCGGTTTACATAGAATTCATATAGATGAGATTATCGGCATTAGCTACCCATTATCGTTTTTATGAATAAAAAGCCCGGTAATTAGTGTGGGAAACAAAAGAGACTGACAGTTGCCCTAATTAGCGAGAGACAGATGGGCAGTAAACAGTGACAGATTCAAATTCTTGATTTTTAACAAAAATTGAGAAATCAGCTTACGTGGTCAGATGACAGCGACAATCCACCGTACTCTTCTCTCTCTTTTTTACACCCTTTATCCTTACCTGTTCAAGAGCTCTGTTTAGCTGAGGATTCACTGCGTGCCTCGTGGCCGTTTCGCCCGATTCCAATGCTGGCATATTTCGCATTGACGGTATTGCCTGGAATCAAGTTGATTTCTAATTTTGCACAGTATACGGATCAAGACCTGTGTTGGTGTATAAGGATGGGAAGTCCTGTAGCCGCTTTTTCGAGAGCTACACTATCCATAGCGGTCTGGAAAGGACGCAATCCTGGGATTAATGAGGAGATCAGCGATCTCAAAGCATATAAGCTTTTTCGGAGGCTTTCAGAGTGTATTAAAGCTTCACCTCTGTCTTCACTGTCTTCGGTCTCTACGACAATGCATGTATGCCGCGCAAGTCCTAGCGGTGCGAGGGCACAAATTCACTCCACTTGTTTGGCCTGTTCCCGATTGCGACGGACTGTATACTGAAATTCGCAAGCGCTTCGTAGTGGGGCACTTCGGAATTCGAGGAATCACAGGAAATGCAGGAATTACAGGCACAGAAATCACGTCCTGGAATAGTATGGCCGGTCCCTGACAGAGGGATCAGTAGGTGCTGCAAGTTATTGTGTATAGCAAAAAGATGCGCTAATGTTTTGACTGAGATTAGCACAAAACTGGAGCCTAAGCCTAATTATGGCCAGACTCAAAATCTTTTGATCTACCAGCGCAAGTGATGCTGTTCCTTTGAAGAGTCAAACCACCAGTTTTGCTGGAGTTTCGTCAAGAGAGTCTACAGGCACGCTGTATAGTTGATTCGTTTACTGCACGGACTGGACATCACTGCGCACCACGCGCCGCGATGTCAAACCCTTGTCTCAGGACAAACTTGTCATTATACAAGCCGCGCTCTCGCGACAATTCAGCCGCGCCGCGCGTGGTCCGCAGGGTTCAAGCAGTCCGTGTGGTCAACGAATCGACGATACAGGTAGCGCCGTTTCTGAGACGGTAGGAGTAGATGAGTCAGAATTCCAAATTTCTTAAAACTTAGTCTAGGAAGGTCCTTCGGGTATGCTGATTATGACTGTTATGCCAATTGAGCATTGGTTATTTCTGTAGCAAAAGTTCATGTTATCGAGAGGGACTAGCCATAAGTTGCGGCAACTGTTGCCGAGGTTGCCGATTGTTGTAGGACCCCATTATCCCTGTTTGGCGATATGCCCTCCTACTTTACTTTTACTGTGTTATCGTCGTATGTTCCAAAAAAATCAAGACTTTTCATGTTGGCAAAACAAGATCACTACGCAACATCCAATGACCTGTTTATCGCTCTCTCTAGCCTAGCTTTGCAAATGATGAGACATTAAACGGAGAGATCTTCGCCCTTGATCATGATTTATGCTGATCTTCGCGATGATGTCCCAGTGTGGCATATTTTTTGGACACAGCCAAATGTTGCCCTTTGGCACGCGCCGTACTTGATCCTCTTAACACATTCACGACAATGTCGATTTTCGATTACTGCCGTTTTGGACCAGAAACTTTCGCTGTGTCAAACTTACGACCCAGTCGTATTGTCCGAAATGGTATTCTTTTTGGAAGAAATTCAAAACATGTCTCCGAGGATTTCCCCACAAAGGTCATTATGCGCTAATTACTAAAATATGATTTATTTCAGTTTTTGGCAGCATACGGTAAGGTTACCGTAATCATTCTCTAACCCAACATCATGAATTTTTACGCAAAATTGTGTTTTGGGGTTATTTCACGTGTTGATCACGACTATAATGTCGATTTGTTTTCGCTACTTTCCCACTGGTTCCCCTTTCCTACCGTGATCCTACTTCTCCAGTGGGACCACGGTAGCAGTGCGGTAGAATTTTCGTACGAATCAAGAAAACTGATGTAAGACGGCGGTATTAGAACTTGAGGCTATCATTTTCGTAATTAGCATGTTAAAAAATCTATATATGTAAGGTTTGAGCTTTCTGGGATGAACAATGCGAAAATTCAATAAAATCAATGAAATCGACTTCTAGTGCATGTAAACTTAAATTTTCAAAAACAGCATCACTCTGCTAAAAATTTGAGCTAAAGTCTGTGCCTTACCTGTATCTGCGGTATACCTACCGTAACATTACATTACAGTACCTCGAATCCGGAACCACTCTGGCTGAAGCTTCGCCAAGGTGTCCTCAGTCATGTGCCAGAACCCCGTAGAATTCCATCGTATACTGGCAAAGCTAGAGCTTCAGGAATCTTACGACCCACCGTTGGGTCGTATTGTCCGAAACGGCAGAAAACGTACGATGTACCGATGGGTCCTATAGTCGTGAATGTGTCAAAACACCGTCCACTCTAAGTTGAGGGTAATGAGCTTTTGGCAGCATATGTTAGTAGGGCCCCTGTCAAGCCAATGCCCAAGTCGCAGCGCAGAATGTTGCTTCGGAGCGAGAAAATCGCTCTGAAATAACGAAGATGCACGAGAACGCCCAGACTGCACCGCCCTCCCCATCCATGCCCGCCCATCCGTGCTCGCCCAGCCAATCACCGTTCAAGAAAGCCGGCCTGCGGGTTCTCCGGAACAGGGATTTTCGGGGTTTTCGAGCATTTTTGACTTCATATTCGGAATCAGGGACATGAGAAGGCCTCAGAACAATCAAAACATAGTCAAGAATCTGGGTGGGCGGTGCCATTAATCCACTTGATCCACTTCGTTATTGGTCAGTTCACCGATTTGAGCAACAGCGAAGTGGATGAAGTGCATCAAGCGTACCAAGCAGATTGAGGGCCTACTGTTCGAGTCTATGATGCCAAATTCGTAGATCATAAGCCAAATTTCGTAAGAGTAATCGCGCGTTCCATACTGCTTATTGTAAAATCGAATCATCTCATATGATCATGTGTGCACCCGCGCACACCGTCCATCTTTGGCGTCCTCATCCTGGATTTGCAATAGCAAAACGCAGGAGACTGAACGATTGCTATGGCTTACGTCACTTTGAGGTGAATAGTACCTAAAAAGGAAAGAAAACGTTGAAAATACTTTGAAAACACCTGCATGAAGGGTTGCCTCCTCCGAGAATCCAGGGTGGGAACGCCAAAGGTGGATGGTGCAATGTCACACATGATCATACGAAATGATTCCACTGTACTTAGGGAAATTTGAATTTTTTTTGAATAGAAATTGGAATAGAATATTCAACTATCGAATAATATTCGAAACTGAAATTCGTATATTCGAACATTATATGGGAACTAGCTTGTTTACTCGGCTCCGCTCGGCCCTGTCAAAACACTGTAATAAAGGTCCCATCCCTATCTCTGTACAGCCTTTCTCTGTGCCCACTTCTATACTTCATTTCCCGTTCCCTGTGTTGTTTTCGAAACCAGCATGCCCACTTACCTCCTGTGCCAACTCCCAGCCCTAACGCTCAAACATTGCAAAAAATCGATAGAATCGATAAAAGTAATCGATAATTCTGAGGACAATATTGTATTCGGAATCGCCATGCCCACTTACCCCCTGTGGCCAACTCCCAGCCCCGTAGGTGAACTCTGCAAGAAATTCGATAAAAATCATAAAATCGATATTAATCGATAACGAAAAGTAGCCTATGACACGCTTCCCGCTCCGAAGTATATGTGTGCAAAGTTTGGTCCAAATCGGTTCAGGAATAAAAATTTCTATTCCGCACAGACGTACAGACATACATACATACAGACAAACAGACATTCAGCTTTATATATGAGATATTATATATTGTATACCCTCCAAATCGAATGTCATTCGTTATTCGAGTTTCGAATATTATTCGGTTTTCGAATATCATTCGACTTTCGAATATCACACGATTTATTAATGTAAATGAGATGACTGCCTTTGAAGGCAGCGTCCAGGCAAGTCTGGACACATGGGAATCTCACGTGGGTAGTAATTTTGGGGCCCCTAACTAAGCCACTGCTCAACCGGCAGCTCAGGTAGCGCTCTAACGGCTGAGATGTTCCCTTCGAAAGTGGACCCGCGATCGTGTTTCGCATCGATTCATGGCGCAAAGTGTGTGTCCTGGCGCGAAATTGCCATGAATTCATGCGAATACGATCGCGTGGTCCAGTTTCGAGGGGGATATCTCAGCCATTAGAGCACTACCTGCGCTGCTGCTTGAGCAATGCCTTAGTTAGGGCCCCAAAGGTACTTTCCACGTAGGATCCCCATAGGTCCAGATCTGCCTGGACGCTGCCTTTAAGAGAATATATCTAGCAGTAAGTGGCTACATTTGAGTATCACAAATAAACACTTTTTATGTTACAATTTACGATTAAAAAACGGCTTGGTGACGTCGAGAGACTTGAGAACTCAAATGCGTACTCCTATGACGGCTGTGAAGAGTTTATAGCATTTCAAAGTATTAAGTCGTTTCATAAGTTCGTCGACTTTTTATTTTTGTCGCCGTTTTTCGATGAAGCGGTTGGTTTACGGCAAAGTACCTATACCAATGAAAAGAGAAAATCTTGCTCTACAAGAACTGTTGTTCGTTTTTGGAGCAACTTGAATCCCCTTCTTTTACGACTTATCAAAGCAAAATTTTTTGAGAGGCAAAAATTGGGGATTGCGACAACTGCACTTTCCGCATTTGGTCCGTATTCCGAGATGTTTCTGTCACAGGTAGGCGGGATGGATAGTAGCAAGCAAGACTGAAACACTGATAAAGTTGCAGCATGCCAATATGCATAGAACCGTTTGAACAAGGTCCCAATGGTTGTTGTCTTTGACTGCTGCCGCTTGAGTTTGGCGCGTTGTTGAGCGACACAATGTGTTGGTCCTCCTGTCGGAACTTGAGGAGTGGATGCGTTCTTCTAAGTGGTGTAGATGTATGAGTACAAGCTCTGAACAACATTTTACGCTTTCTCAAATAAATTTCTGACGTGGGAACTTCTTCAAATTGTGCCAAACGCGAAACATCTACACACATGGTAAACGTGCGCTTAATCTTTCTTTATAGCCTCTCTTTGGATATGGAGACTACTTTTATATGTACCGCAAACAATTGTTTCTCATCACTCATAACAACTTCAGACGAAAAATTCCCACTTGTGGCTCCGTATACTGATCGAAAGTTGCAGTTGCCGCAAACGCCAATTATGGCCTCTCAAAAAATTTTGCTTTGATAAGTCGTAAAAGAAGGGGATTCAAGTTTGCTCCAAAAACGAATAACAGTTCTTGTAGAAAAAAATTTTCTCTTTTCAATGGTATAGGTACATTGCCACTTGTAAACCAACCGCTTCATCGAAAAACGGCGACAAAATTAAAAAGTCGACGAACTTATGAAACGACCTAATATATTATATACTCTGATGATGTACTGATGTTTGATATAGAGGAGTCCCAGAAGTATCATGTATTCTATGACCAGGAGATGCGAGACCGCATTGCACACGTTTTCTAAACAAGCCTCATCGTGTACTTAGCAGGTCTATATATAAGTGTTATTTTGTCTCCCGGGTGTATTTACTCCTGGAAAGAGGGAATAACAAACTCAAACTTGTTAGGACAATGCCCGCAATGCGGTTTCGCGTCTCCTAGTCATGGAATAGATGATATGTAGATCTGTAGGCTGACATCAATTTAGACTTACAGTATGGAGCGACTCATCGATCGCTCTTCACTGTAGTAAAATTACCGCAGGAAAATTGAAAAGGGTTTTGAAACATCAAAAACAGGTTTGCCCACGAAAGGGAGCCAAAAAGCCGAAAATTTCGCATTTCATTTCTGGAGACAACCACTACATATAAAATTTGCTTTGAATTGCAATGCTTTTTTCACGACTTATGTCAAGTACACCACAAATGTTTCAACTCTGTTCAAAAACTTGACTCATTAGAAACTCCTGCGTAGTAAAATCAGCATTCGTAAAAGCTCTGCTACATGCACAGTTTTTTAGATTTTTTTGAAATTTTTTTTAGATATCTTACTTCGCAGGTTTCGTAATCGTACAGTAAAAAGAGCTTGGTTGATTCGCTTTTTGCTGTATATGTTGCTACAGCCTCCCTACAGGATCTTATACATAGGTTGGCAAAAGACTCCGTGAAAGGTATTAGCGACCAAACAGTGTTTGGGTACTTTGTGGACATCCCGTATACGCTATGGATATCGATTTTCGAATATTCGGTGCTCATCGAATATTCGAATATTCGATGCACATCAAATTGAATCGATATTCGACTATCGAATGATATTAAAGTTGAGATTTTTGAATATTCGACTTCGAGCAAAGCAAGCTCTACAAGATGGTATGCAAAAGTTCGCACCAGCTTCGACCCACCGTAAGTTTGCACCCAAAATCTGAGTTTACTGAAATTCAAAAAATCGCGAAAAATTCATATCTTTGTTTGAACAAATCCTACGGATCTCCAACTTGCACACAAACATTGCACACTACATCAGACACTCATATGTACCGTTCCTGAATTTTTTCCTTCTTTAAAAATGGAGAAAACGAAAATTTTCAAGTTCTTACGAAAACGAAGCTGTGCTGTTTTCACTCACGTAATTGAGTAGTACAAGCTCTTGGAAGTATGACCGTAAATTTTCAGCTCTGTAAGCCGTAATTGTCGAAAAGTACCGAAATGAGCTTTCCTCACTCGGGTGTTCCATGCTAAAATCAGTATTTTTCGGCAACTAGGGCTTACGGAAAGCTGAAAATTTACGGTTATACTTCTAAGAGCTTGTACTACTTGATTACATGAGTGAAAACAGCACAGCTTCGTTCTAGTAGAAACCTGAAAATTTTCGTTTTCTCGATTTTTAAACGAGGCAAAAATTCAGGAACGGTACATATGAGTGTCTGATATGGTGTGCAATGTTTGTGTGCAAGTTGGAGATCCGTAGGATTTGTTTAAACAAAGATAAGAATTTTTCGCGATTTTATGGAAATCAGTACAGTTCAGATTTTGGGTGCAAACTTACGTTGGGTTGAAGCTGGTGCGAACCTGTGCATGCCATCTTGTAGAGCTTGCTTTGCTCTATCGAATGGTACCTCTTTCGGGTGTACATGCACTAGGTTTCGATAAATAACAGATCTAGTTCGAAAATGTTCCAGAACTTTGGAGCCAATCTAATAGAAACATCTTGGTTGCTATCTACTATGCTCTGAAAGCAGAGATAAAATTGGGAAAACGAAATCACTTCATTATCTTATATGTGTTTTTGAACGGCGGCCAAGATTGGTATACAAACAATTTATTGGTTGGCTAACGTTTCGGCGCCAACGCCGTCTTCAGAGCCTGTAATCAAAAAACGTATGTGTGAAGTACTTGCTGGCCCCTCTCGTCGTTACGATTCGAACTGTGTTGAGCACGAGACCAGCAAAGAGCCAGACCATACTTACTTACTTAGATACTTAGATGGCCCGGCTTCACGTGACGTGCGGGCCCCAGCTCAGAAGTTTCCATTTTTCCCTGTCCCTCGCTTCTGACATCCACGATCTTCTTGGCTGACGTCGGTGGCTGCGTCCACGAGTTCCAGGTGCAAAAATCGTATCCAGCTGATTTCTCAGCTGGTCCATCCGTTCCACGAACACGTCTGCCCATCTCGTTGGAGGTCTTCCTCGGGGACGTTTGGCTTCGCGAGGAATCCACTCCGATGTTCTTAGTGTCCATCTGTCGTCTGTTCTTCTCATTATGTGACTGGCCCATCGGTGCTTGGCTTTCGCGACGTTTTCCGCTGGGTCACGAAGACGGGACATTCTTCTCATATCCGTGCTGCGAAGTCCGACTAGATGTTGCTTGCGTCGGGTCATCTTCAGAAGACTGCGCTCGAGCGCTCTGTGG